CCCCCCCCCCTCCCGTCAATTGTCGATGCATCCCGTATAGTCCGGTTATTATCCGAAACCGTCTCTACTAGACTGGTCGAGACTGCTGCAGCTCACCTTGTGCACTCTGACGAAGATACGTACGGCGGTAAAACTACCGGGCAAGGGTTAAAACAGCGCTCATGCAACGATCATATTTCTGCTCACGAAACGCGGTTTCACGACACGTGCATAGAAAACGTGGATGAAGTCATCGCGATGACGTCAACATCTGATTACGCGATCGTTCAATCTTTCCTTCCGCCTCCGCTTTTCGCGGCCGAGCAAATAGACGATGTTGTCGAAACCGTTAGAGTTATGAACAGGCGTGACAAAGTCAAAACAATTGTAAAATATTTCGAAAAAGTTTGTGGCGCGTAATAAATAAAGTCTCGAGTTTTACCGCTAGGATTATGTACGGCTCAAAAGTCCTTGGATCAACGGACTCGCCGGACGAATAAAAATTGTTAAATATAGGAGAGGCTCCACCGATATATACAAATGGGTCTTCGCATCATCGGTCCAAATTGCTAGCCGATAAAAAAACTGTGAAATATTTTACACAATAGATTCAGCTATATTCGCTTATCTCAGGGTGTTCGTGCGGTTTCGTCTCGCGGAAATGTCCGCTGCTCCACGTCAAACGCGCACAGAGAGGGAGAGCACACCTATGCGCGCCGGTGCACCTATGCACGCACTTCCGCTCGGGCGCGTACGTATATTTTCAGCCACAAAGTTGATTCACGAGCCAACGTCCAGAAATAGTCAATCACTATAAAGCCGCGACGCGTAGGAAGGGCCGGGGCTCGCCGCTCGACTTTCATTGCCGGTCGCGTCGAGAAAACCGACATTTACTGCCATCGAGAGAGAGCTCAGAGCGAGAGAGCAAGCGCTCCTCTCTCTTTATCTCTCTCTCTCTCTCTCTTTCCCCTTCTCTCTCTACCGCTAGAGACGACTGCTATCGACGGCTGCCGTGATCCAATTATCTTGCCATCTAATCTAATCCGACACAGTAATTACAACGAAGTCGTCCTGCCGACGCTCGTTATCCCTCGCTGTCTGAAGGCGAGAAAACAGTTGCGAAGTCTCGTTACATGCCGGGCGTTAGCGACATCGGCGCGTCGAACGTCGCTTGTGTGCGTTTTGATAAACATAAGAATCGAGAGATATCCTCCGATGAAAATTTGTCGTCACTCGTCGAGACTTAGGAGCCGTTTCCGGTGCGAACGAACCTTTCTTTTCTCATTAATTAATTTCGAACAGGTTTTACGCCAGACAGGAGATTTCATTCGACTTTAAGACGGTACTCAGCGCATTAACCGTAAAAAGTTGCGCGATCGGATGTAAAAGTCAGGATTCTTAATTACGCAATCTATGATTAACGATTACGGCGAGAGAGAGAGAGAGAGAGAGAGAGAGAGAGAGAGAGAGAGAGACAGCAACATCGTATGCATAAAACCGCGCTACCAATTAATTTCTCATCTAGACGTCAATTTGACTTAATTAGGGATTCATCAGCCGACCGGCCGAGAGGTCGAGATGAACTTTCTCAGGTAGGCGCGCACGGACGAGAAACGCGGCGCTTCTTACTACGCGTACTTGGGTGATTAAGAACTAGAACGAAATAATCCTCAATTATGCCCCGTCCGTCTATCCCGCTACTCTTCTTTCACCGCTCGCATGGCTTCCGGCACGCGTCGTCGGTAACGTTAACTCGCGCGACGCGGTTTCCGGCGGCGTGACTTCCTGGCCGGAGAAACGCGGCCCCGCGGAGGAGGTTCCTCCTGTGCAAGGAGCCTCCGGCTCGAAGATCCGAGCCGGAACTCGCGCGAACCGATGCCGTTAGTCGCGTCTTCCTTGTCGTCCCCGTTAATAGAGCAGAGCATTGCAATGGTGCCCGAAGGAGGTGCACACACACACACACACATTTACGCCGTTACGATATAGGAAAAGCCGCGCCAATAAAATACATGTAATCAAATAGAAATACGCGT